CCCCAAAACCCCAAAACCCCAAAAGAGGAATTCAAGAAAATAACTTACTATTTAGTATAAATTTTGAAAAGATATTTATGATTATTTAAAATAATATACTAGGTAATACTTAATAAAGCAATATCAATCTCATAATCTTAAATTTATTTAGAGATCAGATTCATAAGTAATAATACTTAAGTGAAAATCGCACTCCAATATTTAATATTAAGTATTGCACAAAGATATAAGTTATGCAGCATAAGACTTTCTCTGAATTACAATAACCTTTGCTTTAAGGGTAAATAAATACCTAAACCTAAGTGGATGATACAAAGAGCAAAAGTTTATTGCCCTTAGAATATCAATGGATACTAGATAAGCACAATGAAACTGATTATTCTAAGGTTGAGAATAGGATTAAAAACATTCCATTCAAATTGAATAAAGATGGTATAAGTTATACAGTAGTGCAATTAATAATGATACTTCATAGAAACTAGCTCATGCTAGAATATTACTATAACCATGACGTTAAAGATAGATATGTTGATTTCGTTGATTTCAAAACTTTATAGAGTGAAAAGACTGTTTTGATGAAGGGGGTTTTTGAAAAGAGTAAAGTATTTCATAGTCTTTACAATGATGTCGACTATATTTTTTATCAAGAGGATCACTATATTTATATTGTGAAACTCGAAGATTTTGATAGAAAAAAGCAAGATTTGTATCTGATTGAATTATAATTCGACATGAAGACAGAATTCCATAATGCAACTATCATAGATAAATTCAGCATCTTAATTTCGTATGGTACAAATATATTATTAATTAAACTTGATGACATTTCTATTGATTAAATCAATTAAAACAATTAAATAAAGTTCAAAATCAGAATAATTAATCAAGAAGCATACATTGAATAACTTGGAATTTAAAATTAGATATTATTTGTTAAAGGATAAAGTCCAAGTGTTGGAAATTTCTATCAGTTTTATAATTAAGATTATAGTCATTAGAGTTACCAAATCAGTGGTTACATTATTTTCAATCAAACTAAATAATATTAACAATAATAAGCGTCTATCTTAGTTGATAAGAAATCTCTTTAAATAGTAAGGAAAGTTGATAAACACACTTATGCTATTAAGCATTTAGAGTTGTATGAATATGTTTTTGATTCAGATTTCAATATTTACGATTCTAATTATCATGAGGGTCAAGCCCCTAAGTAACTTCAGAAGCTCTATCACTCAGGCATTGAATGGATGTATAAGATAGCAACTACTTCGAATAAATTTATTATCTTTTGTGGTAACCGAACTGTAAATCACACCCTACTTGTCTTTGATTCTATAACTTTTTAATTGATTGATTTACTTTCAAAAATGTTTATAAGAGACTTTGACTTTTTTGAAATAGACACAATCAACAATAGGGTTTTTTATAGAGATACTGATTTTAATATCAGGAGTGAAATTTATTATTTTAAATTCAACACAAACATTAGACAAAATTATGATCTTATTCCAGTTATTAATCATGCTAAGCATGCTTAACGTAGTGATTATAAAGAAATTATAAACAATTACTTAGTGTATAACTCAAACTAAGATGAAATGATTGTGATAAAAGACTTGATTACTGGAATATAGAAAAAAATATTAAAAAATTCCTATGATAATTGCGTAAAATACCTTTCATCTAACGAAGTTATCTTTATGAAAAAAAAATTTAATGAACTAATTAAATAAGAATATTAAAACGTTGATTATTAATTAGTAAATGAAGTAAATATAGAGGATACTTATCTTAAAACAGACTCTACTTATGTATATCTAAACGATAATCGTAAGTTAGAGTGGAATAAATTCAGGTATGGATACAAATATAAATTTGAAAATCATTTCTGCATAATGTATAATCAATTTCATGAAAAATAATATATATTAGATTAAGCATCAAGAAAAAGATTTATTTATTATGACAAATTTAGTAAAACAATATATTAGATCTATTTTGAATTCAAAGTAGAATTAAAGGAACGTCCTAAAGAGGCTATACTAAATGAAGAAATTGGCTATTTATTGATAAGATTTGAATCAGAAGTTATGATATTTACTCTTAATAATAAAGAGAGAATTAAAGAAATATCAGGTGAAATGAATAATAACTCAGTGTATTACAACGGCAACTACATTCAAATAAATTCTAATTAGGGTACTGTCATTCTATTTTTCAGGAATAAGAAGATTAACAAAATTTTTCACATAAATAAACTCCAATCTATTGATAATTTGCAATTGTTTGAATCTTTATAAATTGAAATTAATAAGAAGTCTTTCTACTTATTTGAAAGAAAAGATTAAGAAAAAAAATCTGAAATTTATACTATGACATAGAATTCATTTG